TTATAAAAACTAATTTAAAACAATAAAAATTTTTTTTCATTTTCTTTTTATTGTGCTTGCTTTTTTGTTCTTTCTATGTGGATTTAGCTCATCTTTTTATTTTTAACTTTTACTTTTATCATTAATTAAATAATCTTATTATTTCATATTTTTACTTCACTTTTTTCTTCTAATTAACTATTTAATTATTTATTTTTTCTACAAAATTTAAAAAGGAGTAATAAAATTGGTGATGAAGGTGTATTAGGCTTAAGTTCTGCTTTAGCAAATTGCATTAATCTCTCAAATTTGACACTTAAACTTAAGTAAAAACAATTTATTTTATTTTCGATTATGATATTTTTAATTATAAAAACTAATTAACAACAAAAAAACTTTTTTTTGTGATTACTTTTTTTTGTTCTTTTTGTTAATTTAACTCATTATTTTATTTTCAATTTTTATTCTAATAATTAATCTAATTATTTCATATTTTTTCCTCACTTTTTCCTTCAAATTAACTATTTAATGATATATTTTTTCTTCAATATTAAAAAAGCTGGAATTAAATTGGTGCAATGGGTGCATCAGGCTTAGGTTCTGCTTTAGCAAATTGCATTAATCTCTCAAATTTAACACTTGATCTTGAGTAAAAACAGTTTATTTGTTTTGGATTGTGATATTTTTAATTATAAAAACTAATTTAAAACTATAAAGCTCTTTTTTCTTTTTCTTTTTATTGTGATTGCTTTTTTTTTCTTTCTTAAATTAACTCATCATTTAAATTTTAACTTTTACTTTTATTATTAATTAATTAATTAATTAATCTTTTTATCTCATATTTTTTCTTCAATATTTAAAAAGTGGAAATTAAATTGGTGCAATGGGTGCATCAGGCTTAGGTTCTGCTTTAGCAAATTGCATTAATCTCTCAAATTTGACACTTCATCTTAGGTAAAAACATTTATTTGTTTTGGAATGTGATATTTTTAATTATAAAAAATAACAATAAAATTCTTTTTTGTGCTTAATTTTTTTGTTCTTTCTTTGTTAATTTAATTCATCATTTTATTTTTAGCTTTCAATTTTATTTTTATTTAATTAATCTTATTATTTCATATTTTTTCTTCATTTTTTCTTTCAAATTAACTATTAAATAATATATTTTTTCTACAAAATTTAAAAAGGAGCAATGAAATTGGTGATGAAGGTGTATTAGGCTTAAGTTCTGCTTTAGTAAATTGCATTAATCTCTCAAATTTGACACTTCATCTTATGTAAAAACATTTATTTGTTTTGGAATGTGATATTTTTAATTATAAAAAATAACAATAAAATTCTTTTTTGTGCTTAATTTTTTTGTTCTTTCTTTGTTAATTTAATTCATCATTTTATTTTTAACTTTCAATTTTATTTTTATTTAATTAATCTTATTATTTCATATTTTTTCTTTCAAATTAACTATTAAATAATATATTTTTTCTGCAAAATTTAAAAAGGAGCAATAAAATTGGTGATGAAGGTGTATTAGGCTTAAGTTCTGCTTTAGCAAATTGCATTAATCTCTCAAATTTGACACTTGATCTTGAGTAAAAACAGTTTATTTATTTTTGATTGTGATATTTTTAATTATTAAAACAAATTTAAAACAGTAAAGCTCATTTTTATTCACTTTTTATTGTGCTTTTTTTTTGTTCTTTCTTTGTTAATTTAATTCATCATTTTATTTTCAATTTTTAAATTTACTATTAATTAATCTCATATTTTTTCTTCATTTTTTCCTTCTATTTAACTATTTAATTATATATTTTTTCTTCAATACTTAAAAAGGGGCAATACTAAAATTGGTGATGAAGGTGCATCAGGTTTAGGTTTTGCTTTAGCAAATTGCATTAATCTTTCAAATTTGACACTATAACTTGAGTAAAAAACAGTTTATTTGTTTTGGATTATGATATTTTTAATTATAAAGACTAATTTAAAAAAATAAAACTCTTTTTTCTTTTTCATTTTATTGTGCTTGCTTTTTCTTTCTTTCTTTGTTAATTTAATTCATCGTTTTATTTTCAACTTTTAATTTTTATTATTAATTAATAAATCTTATTATTTCATATTTTTTCTTCATTTTTTCCTTTTTATAAACTATTTTATTTTTTATTTTTTCTTCAATATTTAAAAAGATGCAAAAGAATTAGTTTTAAAGATGCTTTAGGCTTAGGTTCTGCTCTAGCAAATTGCATTAATCTCTCAAAATTGACACTTAAGTTTCGGTAAATATAGTTTATTCGTTTTGGATTGTGATATTTTTAATTCTTAAAATGAATATAAAACAAAAAAGCTCTTTGAATTTATTTGATTTTTCTTTTTTTATTGCACTAATGTTATTTTATTTATTAATTTAAGAAATAATTTTTAATTTAAAAGTTTATTTTATTTAGTAATTATTTAAAATTTACACAAGTTTTTAAAAAAAAAGATATATTAAATCCATCAATAAATCGTAAAAATTCTAAATATTAAATAAGTGCATTAAATCAAAAAGATTAGTTGTCTTTAGAATTTATTTTTTTTGATAAACAAGTGGCGAAAAGGAAGAATAAAAGCTAAATGTTTAAATAATAGAATATTTTATGTTTTATTAAAATATAGAAAGATAGATTATTATTGTTTTTAAATTTATAAAAAATTATATTTTTGTAAGTTATTCAATAGATTATAAAATATAATAAAAATTAAAAATTAAATTTAGTTAAATAAATTAATTCTGTTTAGCTAACCCTCCAGTTTCGCCAAAAACGAACAAATCATTTTAAACATTTCTTGTTATTTTATATTATATTTTATTAACTCATAAATATTCCAAACTTTTATGTGTCAGTTAGATTTTAATCTTAAATATTATCTATCCATCAATCATATTAAAGAATTTTAGGGTTTACAAATTGTAACCTCTAAATTTCAATCTATTTTTTATTTATCATGATTAATTAGATACTATGATATAAAGGATAATGGATATGCAAACCAACTAGAATAATAAATAACCCATTGTGTCAAATTTATAATAAATTATTATTATTATTCGTGTATGTAGCCTTGAAAAGGCAGTACCCTAGGGTACTATAAATATATATATATATATATAATAAATTAATTTATTTCTTTTAATTGCTAATTCAATATTTTTGAAAAAAAAAAATGATGTAATAGATTAAATATTACAAAGAATTAGAAGAGGTAATTATTTATTTTTTATTAATATCCTTTCAATTTATTTTTATTAATAAAAAGTTTTTAAATTCTTCTCTCTTGTCTCATTAGGTTCTCCATATTGATCTGAAGTATATTTAATTTAAAAATATTATTTTTATTATTATTGATATTTTTTGTATATTTAATTTTCAATTTATTTAAATAAATAATTTTTCTAATAGAAATTCTCATCATTTTTCTGATTTTTATTAAAACAAAAATTTTTTATCTATTTTAACTTGATTTTCGTTTCAAATTTTAGTTCTTTATTATTCATTTTTTATTATTTTATACTTTTTGCTCCAGCACACACATTTGATAAAAAGTTTATTTATTTTGGATTGTGTCATTTTTAATTATAAAAACAAATTTATAACAATTATACTCTTTTTACTTTTTCTTTTTATTACGCTTGCTAGATTATTTTGTTCTTTCTTTGTTAATTTAACTCATTATTTTGTTTTTAACTTTTTCTTTTATTATTAATTAATTAATCTTATTATTTCATATT